TATATATATATATATATATATATATTATATATATATATATATATATATATATATATATATATATATATATATATATATATATATATATATATATATATATATATATATATATATATATATATATATATATATATATATATATATATATATATATATATATATATATATATATATATATATATATATAGCGCCGGCTTTTAGGGGGGGCGAGGTCATGCGTTGCACGAGGGTGGCAAGTAAATAGGGGCGGAGAATTTTATTAGTCACAAGTTTTAATTTTCTAGTAGTATAATAAAAATTTAAAGTAAATGAAAAAATTTAACGACCTTTGCAAAAAAAAAACACGATTTTAAATTTGAAGACAAAAAGTTACTACATTTACTTAACGCACGATTTTCTATTGTAATTTGTAGTATCATTTGTGCGTTATTTCCCCTAGGAGTCATTTTGAAAAGTTGCAAAAAAATTTTTATAAAGAAGTTCAAAAGTTTTTATTTTTTGTTATTAAATGTTAAGTTGGCTTTTTTTTTTTTTAAATTGTAGAAATAATTTTATCTTAAAAAATATTCTGTCCTATGTCACATAAAATTTCAAATTCGAGAAAAAAGTTGTCTGGTTATGAGTACAGAAAAAGAAAGTCCGTTAAAGATCAAAAATTTGAAAAAATTAAAAAAATCATAAGCATTGAAAAATATGTTGCTTATAAAAAACCTGACGAAGGTCGTGAAGATTTTAACCCTGATGCTTCAACTATCTCTACGACTATGTCCAATAAAATTGGAGAACCTTCAACAATACTTAAAAATAGTTGTATAACTTCATTGCAAATTGAAGTAGATAATGAACCAGTTATTTTAAAAGAATCGAATGTTTTATCGGAAGATTTTTTACAAGAAACACCTAATTTATTGGCCAATTGTTCGATCTAGCAACTTTGTGAACCATTTAATCAAACTTGGTCCTTTTCAAATTACAAAGGAAAAATACCCTGAAGATAGAAATGGTTGACATTTTTCTAGCATTTATTACAATAGAAAGCTTGCGAATGGAGAAACCTTTTGCCGTAGATGGTTGGTTTATTCAGATTCTAAAAACTCCGTATTTTGTTTTTGCTGTCTACTTTTTGATAATAATTCAAAGTCAAACTTAGTCTCTGATGGTTTCAAGAAATGGAGACATTTAACTGAAACATTGGGAAATCATGAAAACAGCGTCTCTCATATGAAATGTTATCAACAGTGGGTAGAAACTGAAATAAGATTAAAAACTGGAAAAACTATAGATAATGAAGAAATTAAAATTATAGAAAAAGACAGTTTGCGATGGCAAAATGTTCTTCTTCGGCTGATGAATATCACTCTTTACCTAGCTGAAAATAATATGGCTTTTCGAGGGAGTTCGGATAAACTGTTTACGCCTCAAAACGGCAAATTCTTAGGACTAAAACAGATGCTTGCAAAATTTGATCCTGTGATGCAAAAGCATTTAGCACTTGCAATAAAAGATGACACTTCAGACCATTATTGCAAGAAAAATATTCAAAACGAGTTAATAGATTTAATGTCTCAAAAGGTTAATGATGAAATAATAAACCGAGTCTTGAAAGCCGTTTACTATTCAATCATTGTTGATTGTACACCTGATATTTCTAGCAAAGAACAACTTTCTCTTACTATTCGAATTGTTGACTTGTCATTAGACATTAGAGTGGAAATTAAAGAGTACTTTTTAGGATTCTTTTCTGTTTCTGATTCTACAGGCTTAGGACTTACTGAGGTTTTAATCGAGTTGCTAACTAAGCATGGACTTGAAATCTCTAACTGCAGAGGTCAAGGGTATGATAATGGATCAAATATGAAAGGAAAGATTAATGGTGTACAAAAAAGGATTTTAAATTTTAATCCTTTAACATTATATGTTCCTTGCGGCAACCATAGCTTAAATTTGGTAATAAGTGACTCTGCACGGTCTTCAGTAAAATCTATAGCTTTTTTCGGTATTCTTCAGAGATTGTTTACTTTATTCTCAACTTCAGTCAGCCGATGGAAAATTTTAATTGATCATGTTAAAATTTTGCATTTAAAGAAACTCTGTGACACGCGGTGGGAAGCAAAAATAAGTATTGTTAAAGCCGTTCGTTATCAAGTTGGTGATGTACATGACGCTTTGATAGCATTGTCAGAAATTGAAGGATGTAATCCTGAAACTGCACATGAAGCGATAACTCTAGGAGAGCAATTAAAAAATTTTAGCTTTCTTGTCTCTTTAATTGTCTGGTATGACGTTCTTTTTCAAGTCAATATTGTTAGTAAAACTCTTCAAGAAAAAGACACGGACATCACTCAATGTGCAAAGTTATTGAAAAGCTGTTGTTCATTTTTAGAAAACTATAGAAAATGTGGTTTTAAAGATGCAATTATAAAATCAAAGAATTTGGCTATAGAATTACAAGTGGAGCCTGTTTTTAAACCACTTAAAAGAATAATACGAGTGAAACGCCATTTTGACGAACCAGCCCAAGATGGGATTTATTTATTTTCTCCTGAAAAAAAATTAGAAATCGATTTCTTCAATTCTCTTTTAGACACATCTTTAATTTCAATTAGAGAAAGATTTATACAGTTGGAGAATTATTCCGAAGTTCGAGGTTTTTTGTATAATGTCGATAGTTTGCAAAAAAGAGAAGAAATTCTAAAATCATGTTTAGCTCTTCAAAGTAAACTTACCATAAATCTAAAATCGGACATTAATGGTATTCTCCTTTGCGATGAACTGATGAGCATTAAACATTTTCTTTCTGAAATGGTCAAGGATAAAATTACTCCTATTATTGTTTTAAACTTTATAAAACAGCACAAAATGCAAGATTTGTATCCAAACACATGGATTGCAATGCGAATTTTTCTAACAATACCTGTCACTGTAGCGAGTGGAGAAAGAAGCTTTTCCAAAATGAAACTAATAAAAACCTATCTGCGGTAAACAATGTTGCAGGATAGACTTTCAAGTTTAGGAACCCTATTGATTGAAAAGAATATTGCTGAAAATCTTGATTTTTCAACCCTAATCAAAGATTTTGGTGATAAGAAGGCTCGTAAGATTAATTTAAAATATTAAATGTATTTTGTGTAACATAACAAAAACATAAACAAAAAAATGTTTTTTTGTATGTAGCGTTTTATTGCAAAGTATTATTTTTGAATTCGATTTGTTATTATTTTCCATGTAATTTACCAGCACGTTTATAAAATTTTCAGGGGCGGCAGGACAAATTTCGCACGAGGGCGGCAAAAAGGCTAAGGCCGGTACTGACTATATATCTTTAATTATAACTTTATATATGTATTAATCTGTTTTCCTGAGTTTAAAGACATATCCTAAGCCTTACCTTAAACTTTAAGCTGGCGCACGAGGCGATTTTTATGTTTTAATATGGTTTTAAATTACACGGAAATTACGCATGCGTAAACATTTGTCCAGGTCTGCGGTTTTAGTAAGATCGGAATTGTACTTTTGAACGACAGGATATAGCACTAACCACAACAAGCATTAATTGTAGTACTTATAGTCATAGTATTTAACTAGTCTGGAAACGCGGAAACATCAAATGTTTTTAAAATGACTTAAGTCATTTTAAAAACATTTGATGCACTCTCAGTCCGGTCACCCCTTAAAGCTCAAGTTATTTTGCGAAATCTATAGAAAACGGCCCGCGTTTCCAGACTAGTTAAATACTATGACCATGGTGTTATTTATGTTTATTAAGGTAATACGGATGTTTTAGGTACACTTCTAACAGTTATAACCCGAAAGCGCAATCTCGTTTTGAGTTTTTCATAGGGGGATGGAATAATTTTTTTTTTTTTTTCATTTTCAAAATCTATAGAAAATTTATGCATGCTCACGTGATTATTTATGAAAAATAATCACGTGAACATGCGTAGTTTTCCTCTGGACATATTAAATCTTATACTACGCATGCCCACGTGATTATTTGTCCCGTCCCTTTCCCGTTCCCGTGAAAAAACGGATGAGTGGAAAATTTTAAGCATATATAGTGGAAAATTTTAAGCATATATAGTGCCGAAGCCGAAGCTTCGGCACTATATATGCTTAAAATTTAATCAGCATTTAGATCAGCAGGGGTGTAAATCAAAAAAGGGGTGTAAACCAAAACTAAGGTCCTTGACTAATAATATAGAAAAATCGTATAAAAATGAGGACGCCAGTTAGGGCTGCTGTCCCAGGCAGGGCAAAAGCTCTCAGCGCCCCTGTTTGAAAGTTTCTCATTATGTCGTTTCTGATACTTGCCCGCACCGAGCGTTTTTTTTTTTAACTTAAGCTTTTTTGAAACATTCTCTCCAAATTTTCCTCCTTCTAGTTTTACTTTTTCTGTGTGCAAACCATATTAATGTTATATAGCATCTTTTCATGTGCTGTATATTTTATTTTTATTTTTAATGCACCTTTTGTTATTAGAAGTGGATAAAAATCTCTGAACATTACTAGAGTAAATTTATCTTTTGCACTTGATCCCTCTTTCTTTAAATAAACTCTCTTAGCTGATCTAGTTGTATCTACAACATAAAAAATCTTACAAACACACTTTATCTTTTTATTGCTTTTTATTTCAATATCTTTTTTTTACTTCTCTGTATTCATTAAACGAACAATTTCTAAACTAAAAAAAAACCCAGTTAAGACCATTTGGCATTCCACTACAACTGTTGTGAACCTGCTGCTAAAAAAAAGTACAAATATAAAGATTTCTCTCTAGCTTCTTTTTTACACACTTTTAAGTATTTTTTTTTTTGATTATTTTTAACTTTACACTACACAACATTTTCTTTAGCTTCTTTTAATCTTTTACACTCTGAAATCTTACTATTCATTCTTCTTCTGTCTCTGTAATGGATAAATCTGCATCAGTATCTGAAATCAAATATTAACTATCTGTGATAAAAGCATCCATAGTAATCTAACAACTCTGTAGAGTGAGTTTTAAATAAAATAATAAATAGAATACTTTATAAATTCTTTATTTATAATTATATTATTATTTACTTTATATTTACAAATAAACAGGGACTGAGCAGGCTGATATTTATTTGATTTAAATGGTTTATTTAATTTAAATAAATTTTGATGACAAATATAAGAGCTCAAAGTAATTAAAGCTTCAACCCTTAATTTATTTTAAATAAAATTTAAAAGTCTTCATAATATCATAAGAAGAAACCAGAATATAGGTTTACATGTTTAATATATAAATTCAATTTAGAAGTATTCATAATGTTAATAAAAGAGCAAGGATAATTGTTATCATTATTTTTATTTTTCTTTTAATTTATCTAGTTTTTGTTGACTTTTTTTTTCTTTTTTTATTCTCCTCATTTATATTTCATTTGCTTTTCTTCCTTTTTTGTTGTTGAGAACTTTATGTTTTTTATGTGTCACTCGATTGACTAGTTTGTATCTATATAAGTGACGCCTAACCAATTTCTGTAAATTTACAATGAAAATTTGTAAATTTTTATTGGCATGGTTAATTAAAATTTAAAAAAATAAACATACACACAATTTAAAATAGTAGCAACGTATCTTTAATCTTCTTTAAAGTTAGATTACTAAGGTTTATAGGTCAAATGTTGAAACCAAATTTTGTTCTATTTGCGGTAATCCCACACAATAATTAATATGAATTCGTTACATAATACAAATTAAGTTTTTTTTCCATTTTATTTTTAAAAACTTTTAATTTGTTTTAAATTAAAAGGTTTTTATTCTGCATAGAAATGCTGATTCAGTTCATCTAAAGTCACACTTGGAAGCCTTCAAAGTGTATGAGGACCTTTCCTAGTTTTATTATTATTTTCAAAATATTTTTACTTATTTATTATTATCCCCTCCATAGCAAGACACTTGGGAGTAAATAATACTGAGTATATGGTATAGACTCCAACTTTAACTCTGTAGTCCTGAATTTATAACTTAGTTAGACACTGGCAAATAGCGTATTTTTATAACTTGTGCAACAGTAGCTTATAACTTTACTTAAAATTTTTTGCCGAAGCCAGAGATTTGGCAAAAAGTTGACCTAGCTTCGGCCGAACCGAAGCTTTGGCAAAATTGCCGAAGCTTCAGCATGCCACAGCCTTCGGTACATCCCTAATAAAAATGGAAAGTTCATAGTTCAACTTGTACCCCCAAGAATAATTTTCCAAGATGGCTACGCTAACTCCGAAATCGTCTTTTAAAATGGCTGCCAAGCTTATTATTTTGTTCGCTAACACCGAACAAAATATAAGCTTGACGGCAATCATTTCAATTACTGGGGTAATTGGATACGAGTTACCAGATGGTACTTATAATGGTGATCGTTCCATTGATTTTATAAACAAAATACTATTGCCATATTTTATTCAAAATTGAGATTGTATATTAATAATGGATTATTGACGGTTTCATAATCGATCTGATTTTTTGAAAATATTAAATGAGAACAACATTCTATATAAATTTCTCCCACCTTATTCCATTAAACTTAATACCTTAGAATAATTTTTCGGTGTTTTAAACAGCAGCTATAAAAGCATTTGTCTATTAGCTCAAAATCCTGAAAAAATAAAAAACAGAGTTTAAGATTTAATAAACAGCCGGCAATGGAATTTTATTATCTATTATGGTAGCACTTCTTGTCTATTACCTAACGCGTTGGCAAGAAATGAGTTTATTTAATAAGTAAATTACTTGATTAGCTGATATTGTTCATTTTATTCATGAGTTAAATATAATTTTTTTTTATTAGTTATATTTTATATTTTTCTTATTTCAGATTTTAAGGGTAGAGCGAAGCATAAAGAACACATAAGAAACAAATGCTAGTTGCGAATAAACTAATCATCGTTAACATTGATTTTTATAAATTTCCAAAAATTCATTGATATAAGAAAATGAAAAAACAAAAAAAAATTTTAAAATAAGTTACAACAACCAAAGTAACGAAACTCTAGACTAGCAAAACTTTTACATTTTACAAGTGGGTGGGGCAAAACGGGACAGTTTATAAGCTGAAGCTATCCTTTCATGCAAAGTTTTGAAAATGATGAAAAATGAAGGCTATCTATCGTCTAAATATGTTCAGACATTAAACTCTCACAAAAAAAAAACATACACATAGAAACTACACGTCCCTACACTCATACACCACAAATAAGAAATAACAGCTAAAATAATTTTTTTTTTGTGTGTGTGTTTGTATGTTTTATTATAAAATTTTCCGCTCTACTCTAACCTATATATAATTAAGTTGGTTACTACTACTAAATTTGAAATTAAACAAAAAAAATTTATGAATCACATGATTCACACAAAAAATATCCTGAAACTATTTGGCAACATTTTTGATGAGCTGGCTTAATAGCAATATGCCAATGTAGAGCAAGCTTAAATATACCATATATATCAGCAGCTTTTCTAGTTTTAAGTTTCTTTTCACTTGCAGCTAAAACTGCATTTTATCCCATTTTGGATGATTGATCTTTCTTACATCACTTCTTACCTTCTTTGTTTACATTATACACTATTAATAATCGAAGTTAAGTTATAAAAAAAAAAAATTTTTTTTAAATGGCTTTTCTAAATAAATAAAAAAAGAATATTTTAGATTAAAAACAAAATCATTAAACTGTAAACAGCATCAACAAACGGTAGTAATATATTCAATTATAGCTTGTTGTCTTTTTTTTTATTGTTTTACAATTTTTGCCAATAAAAAAAATTTACAGTCGTAACTTAAAAATAATATTCACACGACCGGGGCTAGAAGAAGACAAATTTAGTCTTATCATTAAGCCCCAAGATATCGGGCTTGAGTTGCCCCACAAAAGCCGTTTTACTGAAATTAATACTATTCAAAAAGTTCAATTTTAAATATTTTTTTAAAAGCAGATTCTAAAAGAGGATAAAAAATACTGTCTGAAAAATATAAACTTTTTATAAATAAATCTAATTCGCAATAGTCTTTTGTCGTTGTATCGGTTGAGAAAATACGCAAATTTTGTTTTTCGAAAATTTACTGGTGTATTTCGGTACTTTTAATGCATTTTGGTATTTCTGAAATTATTTTTATTTTACAATAATAAAATACAATAATTTAAAATGTTTTATCAAAAAAAATTTGGAAAAAAAAAAATTTTTTTAGCTGAGATACAAGACTTCAGGCACAACTGTCCCGTTATGCTCCACTGTCCCGCTATACACCGCTCTACCCTAACTTGTTATAGAGTTATGTGGAAATATAAATTAAAATAAAATCAAAATAAAAAAATATAAGTAAGAAAATACGAAATTAAAATAAGAAAATTATAAAACCCCGCATAAAATAATTTTCCTTTCTGCATAACCCTGTAATAACAGCATATACCGGTATTATTTTAAAAATGATAATGTATTTAGCAAAACTCATTTGACTTTAAAGTTTAATGAAAAAGGTAACAGAAAAAGAAAACGTTCTATTTCTTGATGTTGACGTGGCAGAATTGTTTTTAGGTTTTTTAAATTGTTTTTAGTGGGATCAATCTTATTTAAAACTGATGTTCTAATTACACTTGGATCAAATAGCTTAAACTTCTCATCTCGAAAATTTCTGAAAATGAATCCAAACCAATTTTTTTGTTCTTTATGCAAGCACGTCCGTTTCATAAAAAACTTTATGAAACGGACGTGCTGTAAACCTGCACCACAGTTGGCAGCGATTGCACCCCATATCACAACTGCTAGACATTTCTTTACAAAAGAAAATCACATAGAACTTTTGTGCTACAAAGTTGTTAAAAATATAGGAATATTGTATAAAGCAAGAAATTCACTTTAAATGAACACATTTTATCCATTGATATATAAATTATTCAAAAACTTTCAGGATAATACCCATATTTCTAAATTGTTACCAGTTTATCGTCAGCAGAAGCATATTTCTCGTCTAACCAATTTTAAATATAGAAGCCTCTCTTATTTGAAATGAAAATTCTTAATATTTATCAGCTGAATATTTTTAACATACTTTATTTTATGTACAAATGTAAAACTAACGTATCTCCTACTTCTTTTCATAATCTATACCTTAAAATATAAGTAAATACTACTTAAGAAATGATAATTTAATTCAACAATCTTTTTTTAAAAACAAGTTTTGGAAAGTCAAGAATTTTTTTTCTTTAGGTTATTTAGGTACTCTTAGATGTCCTTACGGTCTTATCACTGCGGGAAAGCATTTAACTAGAAGTTCACGTCTCCTTCTTTACCAATGTCGCTTATTGGGCTTGAGCCGGCGTCGAACCTCGGATCTCTGGGTTCAGAGCCAGAATTCTAACCACTGCGCCACGGCTGCTTAATTTCATTTCGAGGAGCTTTTCTTTGGAACAGAATAATTTTGAAAAACTTTTTTGGTTTATTCTTCGAATGGAACTACCCTTTATTCAAAAAACAAACACGCTAAAACAAATCATTTTATCTATCGAAACTATTTTTATATTTTAAACACTTTTATGTCAAATGAATAATTAATACAAATATTATTCATATAAAATAGTTGATCGGATTCTTATCTTATGTTTTTATGAAAATAATATTTTTGAAAGTATTTTTAGGTAATCTTAACTTTTTTTTATTTTTTATATATATATATATTCTTATGAGATTTTGTTCTTGATATTTTTCTAGTTCTTTATTATTTTCAAAATATTTCGTTATTTTCTAGATATTTTGTTATTTCTTAAAAATTTAAAAAAAAAAAAAAAAAGATGCAACGTATCATTTATTGAAGGGTGAGTTTGGTGGCCGGAAAACATTGACTTTGACGCGTCTTGAAACTAAATGGCACAAAAATTCATTGTTGGTAGCACTTGATTAAAATTTTGTGAGGATGTTCCTAAATTGATGCCATCTAACTTGATGCGCTGAATGATATCATAAAAACTTCTTTTAAAATGTGCAGCAATAAGCGGCCGTGGCAGTGGTTAGAGCGCTTGCTTTAAAAGCAGAAGATCCAGGTTCGAAACGAACTCTGGATATATTTTTCCGTCACGGTGAGGAAGGAGGCGTGAACTTCCTATTTGAATGCACTTCCGCGGTACTCTGTGACAAGACCGTTAGGTCTTCTTAGGGCACCTAAATAACAAAAAAAAAAAAAAAAAAAAAAGTTATTTTGACTTCCCATCTTCTATTTAAAGTTGTATTTGTACACGTTTTGCAGGTCTTTGGTGTTGATAAACCACGCAATTCGTGATTGTTTATTCTGTTCCTTGCACGCAGATTTTGTATTTAAAAGTAGTTATCTATAATAATTATGAGTTATCAACTCTGTTCTCAAAATATATTTTGAGTTATAATTTAAGATCAGTGGTTATCGAATCATTTTGGTCATAACTGCACAATAATATTTTTTTGTACTTAAAGCCCCCCCCCCCCCCCGTCCCCTAGCGAAAGGTTTCAAAGCATTACTAGTTTCTTGTATTGCTTTCACTTTCATTATTACAAAATCTCACGTGTTTAAAATTAAAAAAAAAAAATTTGGTTTTAACAAAAGTAATAATGGAATCAAAGGTACTTATTATTGGATCAGGTGGAAGGGAAGATGCTATTGCTTGGAAGATTTCACAATCCGATAATGTTTCAAAAATTTTTATATCTCCTGGAAATGCAGGAACACGTTTACATCAAAAGGCAACAAACATACATCTACCGTTAGATGACCACATTTTTCTTATTAACTGGTGCAAAGATGTTGGAATAGATTTGGTTATAATTGGTCCTGAAGGTCCTTTAGCTCAAGGATTAAGTGATCTTTTTAATTTAAATCGAATAGATTGTTTTGGACCATCTCAGCTTGCCGCTCGTATAGAAACAAGTAAAGAGTTTTCCAAATCATTCATGGATAGGCATGGTATACCAACACCTAGGTGGAAAAGCTTTACAAATGTTAGTGAAGCTAGTAATTACATTAACTTAAATTGTCCAGATGAGATTGTTATAAAAGCTAGTGGATTAGCTTCTGGAAAAGGCGTTGTTTTGACTTCATCTAAAAACGATGCAGTAGAGACTGTAAAGCAAATGCTTGAGGTAAAAACAGTTCTTTGTTAAATTAACTAATTAAAATAAAAATATGAAAATAAAATTAACCAATTAGATAAAACTGACAGATGGATATAAGAAAAATAACAGATAATTTACTTTTTTTTTAATTTCTTGGTTTATATGTTTAAATTTTATTAGATAAAATTTTGTTCTTTTATTTTTTTGTCGTGAAATATTTTGTTTTTAAATTTTTTTCTTTCTAAATTTTATTCTTTTATGTATTCTTAAAAATGCCTCTACTACAAAAGTCTTACGCAAAATCTAGATAATGTTAAAGTTTTACGCAAAATCTAGATAATGATAAAATTGTGTAATTTTTTGTTAAAAGCACATGCTTTTTCAGATGTGCAAATAATTGCTACAAATAATAAATAGTAAGATTTAGTTTTTGTTTCAGCTTGCTAATATTGTATGCAGATAAATTTTTTTCATCATTCTGCTTGTTAAAATAACACACAAATAAATCATAAGTTTTTATGTAAAGTGGAAAAATTCTGTACTCACTTGTGGAAAAGTTCTGTACTAATCTTTAAAAGCAATTAAAAAAATATATATCTGCTCATAAGTGAAGAGTTGATAATAAGTTAATCATAAGTTCTTTCAAAATTTTGTTTATAAATTTTTTACCCAATTTTTAATAACCTGAAAAAATTGCAGTTTATTAGAATCAGTCCCGGTCAAAAATATAATAGTAAAAAACTGAATATTTTATAAAAAAAAAAAACATTAGAAAAAAATAAAAAATCTAATAGTATTTTTAAGCAGCAGATAGAATTCAAGTTTTACTAAAATTATAAAAATGACAATAGACATTTATTAGTTTAATTGTCAAGCATTTGTTTGAATTGGGTCATTATTAAATTGTTTATTATTGTGTCATTAAATTTATTCTAAAGGTTAATGACATGGCAATTACAAAAAATACAGTTGTTTGCACTTCCTGTTGATTTCACAAACAAACTGTTCTTTTTTACCACCTAAAAAGCTGCACCTAAACTGTACAAGTCAAAAGTTTAGTACTCCAATTAATGATGGTTAGAAAATTTTTGATTTATAACTTTTGAATCAAGTTTCCTTTTATTCTTTTTTTTTTTTTAACATTTTCCCTTCCAACAAGGCTGCAAGCAACCACTATTAGAGTTGGAAATTACTGGAAGAGAAAAAATAAAGATTGTAGAGCAAGATAACGATTGACAGGCGACTTAAAAGATTGCAAATTATATGAATCGGGAAAGCAGGATGAAGGAAACGAATTTCAAAGAACTGATGTTAGAAGAAAAAAACTAGAGGAATAAAAGTTTTTGGAGCACTTAGGAACAGTCACAGAAAAAGGATGAGACTTAATTGAAAGATGAGTAACACAAGAATGAATTTTAGTAGATGATACAAAAGATGCTAGCTCTTTAGAGCAGTGCCCATTATAGTATTTGTAGAAAAGAGAAAGAGAACCAACATTATGATGATGTGATAATGTTTGGAGGTTGGATGCAAGAGCAGGTCCAATTATGTTTACAATGCACTTTTGCACCTTGTCTAAAAAAGAAAGGGCATCACTAGAAGATCCGTCCCAGATATGGCAACAGTATTCCATAAAAGGCCAGATTTGAGATTTATAGAGATAGAGAATAGAATCCGGAGTAAGAAAGTGTTGAGCTCGATAAAAAGATGCAACTTTAGCAGATGCTAATTTTGTAACGGATTTGATATATGGTTTCCAAGAAAGCTCTTTCCAAGAAAGATCTTCTTTCATCTACCCTTCATCTTCTAGGATTAACTCTTACCAAGAGGTAAGAGTTAATCCTAGAAGATGAAGGGTAGATCATTCATCAAATACATTACCGTTCATAAATATAGGAAGATCTAAATTACTGCAATAATGATTGGCTAAAAAAAATTGAGTTTTATCTGAATTAAAGTTCACCAGCCACTGTGAGCCCCATGCTGTAGCAGAAGTGAGATCCTTTTTAAGCTTAGATGCCCCCTGCAAGCAATCAGAGGGAGTTTGCTTCTTATCGTGACAAGAATAAATGGTAGTATCATCAGCGAACAATTCCACCTTAGATGTGAGAATATCTGGAAAATTGTTAATGTAAGAGTATAGGGCCATGTAATGTAATGTAAGAGTATATGTAATGTAATGTAAAGTAATGTAAGAGTATAGGGCCATGTAATGTAATGTAATGTATAGGGCCAAGTTTATATAATGTAATGTAAATATATATATATTTATATATTATATAATGTAAATATATATAAATTATATAATGTAAAGTTAAATAATGTAATGTATAGGCCAAGAGCCATGTAATGTAATGTAAGAGTATAGGGCCAAGTTTTAAACCTTGAAGAACCCCTTATGTTACAGAATACGAAGAAGAGTGGTGTCCATAGAGGACAACTTTTATACTTTTATACTACGATAGGAAAGGAAGGACTCAATATTGTTAAAGATGTTACCAGATACACCATAAGAAGAAAGTTTATGAAGAAAACCAACATGCTAAACTTTATCAAAAGCTTTAGAAATTTCTAGAGCGATGGCCTTGACCCTTCCACCTTTATCTAATGCACAATAAAACCTTTCGGTTATTACTGTTAACAAATCAGCCGTCGAACGAGAAGCTTGAAATCCCTATTGATGATCAGAAAGTAAGTTATTAGACTCAAGATAAGAGATTAAGTGTTTGTTAATTTAGGATTCAAAAACCTTGCTTATGATATGAAGAATACTAATGGGAGGTAGTTAGACAAATCAGATCGCTGTCTAGAGTTTAATAGGGAAATAGTTTAATAGAGTAAATAAGGAAAACAGATGCGTCATTTAGGTGAGGCGACTAAGTCTGAACCATACAAGAGAGGTGGAATTACAGATTTGGATTTATTATTGATACTATTAAAGATTCTCCAGAAGTCACAAGAGCATAATTTTTGTGATGAAATACGAGATTTCATGACCTGAGAATATCGGGCTTTGGCGTCAGAAAAAACCTTTTTAAAATGGTTTCTAGCAGTAATAAACATACGCCTATTTTCTGGAGAATTGTTTTGCCAATAGATATGGAAGTAATGGTTTCGATTAGCAATTGCAGCAGCGCAATGTGAGGAAAACCATGGAATAGAGTAATTGTAATTGTCAAGAGGGAATAAAGGATCCAATGCCATCCTGAATCCATGAAGTTATGTAAGAAGTACATTTGTCAACAGGAAGACAAAAGATTTCTACCCAAGGGCTATTAGGAAGAAAATCACAGAAAGTCAGCTTTAAGGTAGTTGTAAGGTATACGATAATAGGGGGATTCTGATGATAAAAGAGAATGAGATAATAGTTTTAGATAGATCAAACTGTGATCAGAGGCACCTAAGGGTGAATGTGGAGAAACTGAGCACTGACTAGGATCAAAAACAAAACACAAGTCAAGTAGAGAAGGTAAATGATTCAGGTTGTCTTGAAAGCCAGTTGGAAAGTTGACTATTTTAGTTAGGGATTGAGAAAGGCAAAAGTTGTGGGCTTTAATGTCTGCAGAATCACTGACACTAGAGCCAAGCCATTCGCTGTGATGAGAATTAAAGTCACCAACAACAACAATATTGGCTGAAGGATAAAGAGAGAGGGCTTGGTCATTATGATCATAAATAACATCAAGAAAAGTCTTGAGATGAAGGAGAGCAATAGCGAACTAAGAGAAAGGTGATAGAGTGAAGTGGTGCTAATTGAAAGCATATAGAAAAGTAGTTTGGATTCAAACCTAGTTTCCTGACAAATGGGTGAATTCTTACAAATGTAAATACCTAGGCAGTGAATAACCCAGAGTTTATTTAGGGATACTGTTTTTTTTTAGCAACATTGAGGGGGGGGGGGGGAATATGTTTTTGATTTCCCCCTCCCCCTCATTCTCCTCTAGTTAAATGGGTGCCGCAACAGTATTTTCTAATCATCATTTTCTTAATAACCATTTATGTTTACCTTGTTCAGTTTTATCCTATAATAAGGTGTTGATTTATGGGCATTTTTTGAATACATGAGTTTACTGGTGGACGATGTTACTTAAGCTAAAAGAAAACTATTTTACTTTAGATTTTAACAAACACTTTTCTTGCATATACCATGCTATCAGTAAATAATTATTGAAAATTGTTTAAAGTATTTTAAACAGTTTTAAACTATATTTTAGTAAATTTAATTTAAAATAATAATTAAAAATATTTTAAACAATTTTTAATCAATATTTACACTACATAATATATTTACATATATTATATTGCGTAATATTTGTAAAATCAACAAAATAGTTTAATTGTAAAATTAACAAAATATTGAATTGAATTTGTATTTTAATTAAAAACATAAGCATTTAATAAACTAATTCAATAAGCATTTAATAAACATATTAAATAAACTATTCAAATAAAAACGTAAGCATTTAATAAACTTAGTTTCTATTATTTTAAATTTAAAGTTTTGATTTAAATCATTAGTAAATCTGTTTATTTAACTTTTACCAAAGGTTATAATTTTTTAAGTTATTTTAAGGCGCCTTTTAATTAAATTTATTTAATTAAAAGTTTATTATAATTATTTAATTACTTTTAATTAAGTTTATTGTAATTATCTCTTTAATTATCTTTAAATTAAAGATAATTAAAGAGATAATTACAGTAAACGTAATTTTAAAAATATTCTATTATTTTGATTAAAAACCATATTATATTTTTAATAACATATATTTAAAAAAATATATGTATTTTTAATTATTAAGAATAATTTAAAAAATTAAATTTAAGTAAATAAATTGCATTTATTATGGGTTATTTTAAATAGATCTAAATAAAACTTTCATTAAGTTATTGAAACCTTTTTTTTTTATTGTTTGAAAAAGAATATTGAAAGGAAAAAAAACTGTCTGAAAGAGTTTATACTTCGTTTTTTCCTTTACCTCACGTATACCAAAATAGCAAGCTAAAGATCAATAGTTCATTCATTTAAA